AAATGGAAGAGACGATTTCTTCGATACCTTCAGGAGAAGATGCTGAGATCTTTGACGGATCAGGACAGGATCGATCTGCTTATGTTTCTTATTGGTAAGCATTTAAAAGTAAGTTAGCGCAAAAACTATTCCTTACTGCAACCTTGGGACTTTTTGATAGCTGGTTAGAGCATATGTGTCTGTAAAGTACTAAAAGAACGTAAAACAGAACAATTTATTAAATTAGAAACATTTATTGTAAGACCATGGTGAAATTCTGGCACATGGGACTTGTCACCTTATATCTCAGGATGACGGGCGTAGTGGCAGTGCCCCCCAAATTTTTGCGATTTAAAACTCTGAGTGGGACTATACCTACTGTGGACAGGCATGTCGCTTACAATCAGGCGCACAACTTGTTCATTAAAAATCCAGTAAAATTAAGGTTTTAAACACGATTTGTGTAAGTGTACAGTATCTTAAAATTACAATTATTCAATTAAAAATATATTGTAATATACAGACATGATCTGAAAAATTTACTTGAAACTTGATGTTTATGTTAAATTTTTATTGAATTTATATTCAATTATTTTTTTGTGAAATTACTCCACTAAAGTCCATCTGTTTAGGTACTTAAATAAATGTAAACAATCTTGAGATGTCTATTTAATGAAATATACATTTATAAAATGATTTTCCCTTACCTTCAAATACAAAATACAAATACTTAGCTTCATATGAAATTGCATGCCTATTTTTATACCTATTGATTTGTAAAGCATGTGTTTCAATAAAAAGATATATCAAGATTGTTTACATTTAGTTAAGTACCTAAACAAATGGACTATAGTTTGTTATAATTATTATTAATACAAAGATTGAACACTCATGAAAAATTCCTTCGATCCGGCCGGATTCAAACCAATGTCTTCTATCACACTGTGCCAGACGATATACCAATTAAGCTGATATTTATGACCGAAGGAATTATGTACACCTTACTTAAAATAAAAAAGCAGCACGACGTCAAAATTAGTATTCAAATTAGATAATATTGAACAGCTTGCACAGTTGCTCAAGGAGAATGTTCACTGTACACAGGTAAGGAGCGGGATGAATTTCACCTACAACTATCCCGAATGGGCTTGACAGAACAACACAACTTTTCTCAAGTCATAAAACGTGTAGATGAGCATTTCAAAATGATGAGAAGTGTCATATACAGACGGTTTCATTTCAACAATCGCGATCAACTAGAGGGAGAGTCTATAAATGAATATGTCACTGCATTGAAAAGATTAGCCGATGTATGTGAATACGGACATTTAAGAGATGAAATGGTACGTGATAGATTGATAGCAGGAATTGTAAGTGAGAATGCAAGACAAGATATGCTGGATCATTGCGAACATTTGTCACTGGATCAGGCAATATGGATTGTACATTGTGATGAGCTTAAAGGCAGAAGAAGGCAGGGATTCTAACCATGTTACTACAAAGAAGCTCTTATTCAAATGCAGATAATTCCTTCCTTATTAACCGACTTCTCTCTTGCATTTTCATAGAGAAAATTTGTAAATTATACATGTTGATGTCATTTTGACATATCTAGATGATTATCAAGGAGTCCGAGGCATAACCTAATAAATGTATGAATGTCCATTAAATGACCTATCTCATTATAGCATAGTTTTTGAGCACTTTTAAATTATACAGGGTGTAAATTTGAGACGGGGCAGCAAGGCCAGCCACCTTAATCGTTGTAGTTACAGGAAAACAGTTCTAGAAGACTATCCATGAATTTTGATGATATTTTGATTGGTATTCACAGATTTTCAAAAAATGGTACAGTCAGCAAGATAAAAGGCAATTTATACAAAACTTTTTTTATGCCATTCGATCAAGTCTCTGGTAAGGATCAATAGTCTCTATGGGACCAACTGAGGTAAGAGTATCAAAATCGCAAAATAGTAAAAATAGTAAATAGTAAAAAAATAGTAAAATCGCAAAAAACTTTTTATCATGCATTTTGTATGGACATATTTAGTAATCAGTTTTATTCTAGGTAGTTAAGAAAACTAACAAATTAGTCTACAAATAAGAATTAAGTAAAAACAAATTATAAACATAACATTATTTTTTAAATTTCGAACAGCTTTGTTAATAGAGAATTGTCACTTTGTATACGATTTTTAATCAAAATGTTCTCAAATGTGGAAAGAAATGAATTGGAGTAAAATTGCAGCCGCTACTTGCTCTTTGCAGAAGAGAGCGAATCGATCATAGATTTTTTATGTTATTTTGCTTTTCGTTATTGTTTTTATTTTGAAATACATAATACGTATACAATGTGTTAATTTCCTTAACTACCTAGAATAACTGCTAACTAGATATATCCCTACAAAATGTATGGTAAAAAGTTTTTTGCGATTTCTGACATTTCGAGTACTCTTTCCTCAGTTGGTCCCATAGAGACTATTGATCCTTACCAGAGACCGGTACGAATGGCATAAAAAAAAATTTTTGTACAAATTGCCATTTATGTTGCTGACTGTACCATTTTTTCGAAATCTGTGAATGCCAATCAAAATATCTTAAAAATTCATGGATAGTCTTCTCGAACCGTTTTCCTGTAACTGCAACGATTAAGGTAGCTGGCCTTGCTGCCCTGTCTCAAATTTACACCCTGTATAGTTATTCAGAGGTTGTACCAATAGTTTGTGTTACACTCACCAATGCACTGTAATGAGTTAGACAACTCATGTTACAGGAATTCTCACACTTTTTGAGTTTTGCATTGGACACCTCAATATGTCAGATAATAATTATTATATTGTAGGAGGTTTGTCAATTTTATAAACTTACATGTTATGCAATAGTGAGTACATGAGGAGTTGTAGACATTCAGCTAAACAAGATTGCGGAAACCAAAGTGTATGGAAAACTTTAAGATGTTTTTATCCATTCATTAGAAGCAGTGTAGACAAAAGGAATCATGGTAGTTTGGAAGGATACTGTCACAACTTTTACTCATGAAATTTTCCTTAAAATATTGTAAAGATTAACAATATTGTCTAAAAATTCATGTGTTCATTTTAGATCCTACTTTATTTTTTTGTAAATTTTTTTTTCATGTATAAAGTCAGTGCATTTTTGATCTCAATCTCACCTAATGGAAAGTGATGATAAGGTTGACGATGGAACATGCACACCTATATAATGCCTTAAAAAGGCCTCAGTTATAACAGGGAACAAAAATGCTGAAGGGGATTGAAATATAGATATAGAAGCATAAAGGTTCATGTGAATTGAGTACATAAACAACATAACAATACATAAATCACCTGGAATATTTGGAAAGTCAAGAATTATATCACTGAAACTTTCAAATTTGAAACTTGTATTTCTTAATAATGCCAATAATTGTAACCGTGATCTGTGAAGTGTTTAGATATAGAAATAAGAATGTTGAATCAAAAGTGTTCAGTAGTATTCATATTTATTATATTGTACTGTCGTTATTGTTATTTATTATTATTATTCGGATGGCTTCATTCAGAGCCTTTGCAGAACTTGATCACTGCGACTAGTCATTGATATTTAATTATCACCACTTATTATATCACACAGAGCCAAGGCAAATTGTATTAAAAAAACGGAAAAATTTCTCATGGGTTTGTTTATTTTGATCTCCTTGCCCAGTAGCTTGTATCGTGTTCTCATTAAGATACTACCTCTGCTCGAATTAATATTTTTCCTGTACTAGTCATTGACTTACAAATAAATGTCCGACGGGTCTAATACACAAACCAGGAAAAAAATGTCCCAAGTCAACCTATTTAAACGTAGGAATATGAAAAAGCTAAAACGTTGAATTTAAATTGTAATGTCATCGCAGTACTGTCTAATTTTGCTTGCTTCGCTGTCAGTCGAACAAACGAAGACTAAAGCGTGAATGACGCTCTGTATACGATTTTAACGCCCTATAAGTTCGGACACTTTTTAGCGCGGACCCGACGTCCATATAATTGTAAGTCAATGGTACTAGTATTAGTTCATTTCGCTTAGATCTCGGCAGTGACACTGGCTTTCTTTTTTCAGAATTTATTCTTTTACAAACGAAATTAAAGCCGCTTGAAAAATGTGTATCGTATAAGTATACGTGTTCTATTTAGTAAAATCATTGGTATATGACCATTGACTTACAATTATATGGTCGTCGGGTCCGCGCTAAAAAGTGTCCGCACTTGTAAGGCGCTAAAATCCTATACAGAGCGCGACTCTCCGCTTTAGTCTTCATTTGTTCTACGGACAGCGCGATACTGCGATGACATAACAATTTAAATTTCGAATAGGTTGACTTGGGACATTTTTTTCGTGGTTTTTGTATTAGACCCGTCGTCCATTTATTTGTAAGTCAATGTATATGACATATACTATATGTAAAGTACCTATTAAATACACCGGTTTGTTTGTAAAATTTCGAGGTAAGTTAGTATTTTTTCTATTGTGAAAATTTTTAAGAATCGTGTTTTCACACTTTATGAGACAGAACTCACGAAGCGGTTTTGACCCGCGCCCGCTGCGGTTGCGGGACAGCTGTTTTATTTCAACACTTACGATACCGCAGGTTTGTGCGGTCACGTAGCCGCCGCGGTTGCGGAACGGCCCGCAAACTTGGCGGGAGAGGATCGCAAGGCGCGCGGTTATTTACGATCGATTGAGATCGTCAGTTAAGTCTCAGACGTCGCCATGGACTCACATCAAAAACGAGTTATCGCGTTATACTTACTTCATCGAAGAATTAAAAGGAGAAGGCGTAAAAGATTCTTTACGAGAAAGAAATCGTTACGGATTATTCGTTGTTCTTATTAATGATTTAAAAAAATAAGAAGACAAATTCTTTAATTTATCTACTTGTTCAGAACTTTTAAGAAAAATTGTGACTGGTAGGAAATTAATTGATCGACTTCAACATCCATAACTTGAGAAATTGATGCGCGCTGCCAAATCGACCCTCACACTAACGTCGCCCGCAAATCGACAGAGTGCGCGGGCGACGCCCGCCAAGCGCGCGGGTGACCGCGTCCCGCGCGGTTTGCGACGGCCGCGAGCAACCGTCTCCGCTGCGGGCGTAAAACGCATCGTGAAATGTGCTACTAAATTTCGCATACCTTTCTACATTCTTCGGAGGCCGGTCCCGGAACCGCGGCGGGCGCGGGTGAAAACCGCTCCATGAGTTCTTAGCCTAAAATATCAATTTTTCAAAAAAACTGCTTCCGTGGCCGAACGGTTGCCATGCCGGACTGTCACGCAGAGGTCCCAGGTTCAATTCCCGGGCCGGGAAAATATTTGTATGACCTACATTTATTTTTCTCGTGAGTTTGGGTGTAATTTGTGGTGGTCTATGTGTGTGTCCATGGCACTCAGGATTACCCTAATGCGGGGTTATGTTGAGTGTGTGTGTTATTATATTTTACTATATACGTGAGGCGTACTATAAGTTTTCGGAATGAATACCTAAGAAAAAAATACTATAAATGGTCAGAAATGAATTTATTGTTTCTCAAAATATTCTCCGTTAGCGTTAATGCACTTTTTCATACGAATGAACCACTTTTGAAAACATTCATGCCACTCCTCTGTGACAATCTCTGAAACATATTCTTCGACAGCCTCTTCAGGTGATGAAAATCATTGCTTCTTAATTTTTGGAAATAAATAAAAGTCACAAGGTGCCAGATCGGGATTGTACGCGGGATGGCTCATAAGGTCAACGTTGTTCACCTTCAAAAATTCATTTGTCTGACTGGCCGTGTGAGAACTGGCATTATCGTGGTGCAAGATGATACGGCGTTTACGGTTATTTTTAGAGAGTTTGTCCATAACTTCCGCCAAACAAATGGTCGTGTACCAATCACTATTCACGGTACAACGATTCTCCAAAGCAACAGTAGCCACGTGTCCAGTTTTATTAAAAAAAGAAGCAATCATCCGCTTAGAGCAGCTTTCCCAAAGTGGGCGATAACGCCCCCTTGTGGGCGCTGCAGGCCTAAAGGCGGGCAAGAGACCCAGAAAAAAAAATGGGGGCGTTGTGTAGAGACTTAGGGAGAGATTTGTTATTTCATCTAGGAAGACTCTTAGACACCGACTGAGCTCTCGACTACAACTTGTGAACATCAACTAATATTAATTAAGAGATTGCTCAAACTAACTCGGTTCGATATTTCTCTCCGTGGAGTTAATATATCTGTCGTGTTTTATTGAATAAATAAAATAAAAATCATGTCAATCGGTCGCTCCGTTTCGAAATGAAAGTAGACACAAACAAACAAATAAAAAGGCAACAGACACAGTTTCGCATTGTAATAGTTATCCTAGATAGGTAATTTTCGCAGATAGTAGACCGCGGGCAATCGTGTTTTAACAAGTTTTGGTTAAATAACCCGATTTGTGCATTCCTGTATCAATCGGCTGGTTCATAGAATACTTGTTCTTCCTTGTTGAGTACGATTGAGCATCGAATGAGATAAACGAGTTTATGCATGTTCCGTATATATGCGTATTTCATTAATTAAAACAAAAAATGTCGTTGCTGCTTTCGCAGCCAAACTGCTTCTACACAAAAATAATATGGGCAGGCGTGAGTTTCACAATTTTCCGAATTTATCAGTATCCTGTAGTAACGACGACTTGTTTGCCTACTGCCAACATTTGGAAAATCTCCACATTGACTTCACCGAACGATATTTTGAACTTGGAAATACCAGTCTGGGTGTTGGATCCGTTTTCACATCTCAACACAGCAATATCACCTCAGCTGGAAGAAGAACTTACAGAATTGACAACGAACGAGGAAATAAAAAACAAGTTCAAAAATGGCTATCAAGAATTTTGGCTACAAAAACCGACCCCGCAATTATACCCTGTATTGTGGTCAATCGTTCAACGATTCTTGATAGCATTCCCATTGTCTTATTTGTGTGAACGTGGTTTTAGCGCTGTGACAACGCTGCTTACTAAAAAGAGAAATCGTTTGCATGTTACCCAACGTGGTGACTTGCGGCTGTTCTTGAGTAAATTGGAACCGGATATCAACAAACTTATTAAACAGCATCAGATTCATCCTTCACATTAGTTTTTATATTAGAATCGATTATGTTTGTTTTATTTTGAATAAAAGATACTCTGTGTGAATACTATAAAGTTGCGTTTCAATAATCATTCTCATTGGCAGGTGTAGCCCGTAAGAGTTGACTTGAGACCTGAGCGCCGTTGTGTACTACCTACTGCGCTCAGGTCTCAAGTTAACTCTTGCGGGTTATAGTAAAATTCTCGTTTAGAATGAATGTTTAATCTCCGCTAATATAGCTCACAATAATTAATTTAATTTGAAGTTGTAGTGGTTTTTAAGTAGGTGAAAAAAAAAGTAGGGGCGCTGAAAAATAATTTATTCTCAAAGTGGGCAGTAGACAAAATAAGTTTGGGAACCCATGGCTTTAAGGCACTTGACACGCACGCCACTTTGGTTGATTTTGGCTCATCTCGAAAGACCCATACGCACGATTGCTGCTAAGTTTTGGGATCGTAACTATAAATCCATGTTTCGTCACCTGTTACTATGTCCCACACCAAATTTGACGCCCCTTCGTTGAATCTGGTAAGCATGGCATTGTACCAAGTGACGCGATTCGTTTTTTGAGCCTCAGTCAAATTGTGTGGGATTCACCGAGAGCACAGCTTTTTCACACCCAAATGTTTGTGTAGTATTGATTGTATTTGACTCATGCCTATGCTTAAAGATGCTCGAATCTCATGGTATGTCACATATCTGTCTGTTTTGATCATACGGCGCACAGCATCGATGTTTTTGTTGTTCACAGCAGTGGACGGGTGACCATCACGAAATTCGTCACTGAGATTCACACTACCGCGTTTGAATTCTGCAAACCAGCTATAAATAGTCGTCTTGCATGGTTCTTCATCGGCAAAAGCAGTTTGAAGTCAAGCCAAGCTCCGCTGAGCTGTTAATTTACACTTAAAGTCGTAGAAAATCATGCTACGAAAATTTTCACGAGTATATAGTGATGTAGACAACCAATTTCTGAAATGATGCCACCATGTAAAAACAAGGGACAGTCGGATGAAACAAACTGTATTCTATAGCCAAAGAATTCCATTTTCAAATGTCGTAATTACTTTTTAAATATTGTTTATGCAAGTGGCCAGTTCCGGAAACTTATGCACCCTATGTATTTTTTTTCAAATTGATTAATTCCACATTTTCACAGTTATGCGGAACCAAAGCCATTTGAGGTAGTATAGACTCGTAAGGCGCGGCGCAAATATTGAGATTTTTTAAATTTTTTTATTCATTTAATTCAGGCAACTATGACCCATATAATATATATATATTAAGGAACTAACATACATATAATGTAAAAACTAAATAAGCAATCTACACGAAGTGCACTTGGCGCAATCTGATGTAACATTCCTCGGAATTCCCGGTATACGACACCCGTCGGACAAAATTCCTCCTTCATGAAGATCCACAGATGTTCGATCGGCACTCTCGCCACAAACAAATAAAAATTCACGTTGTGAATCCAACCGCTCGACCCTGGGGATGTATTGGGCTTTTAGTCTGATATACCTACTCTACTATCTCTTCAGACTTCGTGGAGTAAATTCAAATAACCAGTAACTATACGCCAAATTTGATATTGGCTGTTTAATAACAAAACTTTGGTAGGCTTGTAAAACCATTGATAGATGAAAAGAAAATTTTTAGTCACTGCTCATTATTTAAGCTATCTCAGTAGGGCTAGCACGATAAGGCGCGACTTGCGCGAAAGCGACATAAAGTGCGAGATCTCTATGCGAAAATAGTAGTAATTCTTTCTCGCTTTATGTCGCTCTCGCGCTAGTCGCGCCCTATCGTGCTAGTCCTACTGATCATACAGCCTGCTCGCGTAATTGGAATTTAAATAGGTACGTATTAGACATCGAGTATATAACCAGAAATAGTGACAAAATAAAGGCCATACATCACTGGCAACTCATCAGGCAAATGTGCCTTATATCACTTTGAAATATCAAGTCTCGTTTGCTCTGATCACAAATTAGAAAGCTGAAATAGTACAGCGCCAACAACTGACCAGTGTTTACGTCTCCGTATATTCCAAAAATATTCTGTATTTATTGTATAATAAAAACGAAATTATTAAAACTTTATTCACTTCCATGACAGCTTATTTGCAATAGCATCCACTAAAACTAACACCATAATTATTATTAAATTGAAACACTTAAAATAAAAAATATATATAACAAAAGGAACGTATACCTACAGATATAACTAATTAAAGTAAATAGTTTTGGAAGTCATGGCAGTGAAAAAGCGCTGGCTCAACATTATAATAATAATAATACACACACTCAACATAGCCCCGAACTAGGGAAACCCTGTGTCGCGGGTGCCATGGACGCACATATAGACAACCACAAATTACACCCAAACTCACGAGAAAAATAAATGTAGGCCATACAAATATTTCTCCCGGCCCGGGAATCGAACCTAGCCTAGCACAAATACCGCGTTGCCCACGACCCTGGTATTCTGCCAGAACCGTGTTTAAAGAGACGCCACTCATCATCTCAAACGTCCTCTGGCGTTATCGTTTACAAATATACCATTTATAATTAAATACGTAATATACATGACAATTCAATACAACAAAAATGTACATTTTTCACGTTTTTTTAAATACCTAAAATCAGCATCCGCTGATGTTAAGGTCAAAAATCAGCATCCGCTGTTGTGTAAAAGCCAGCATCAGCAACAACCCTGATAGGTACTGTAGACTAGGCAGTATGATTAGAAATACTGGCTGAATGAATATAGGTTTGTGTTTGGAATTGTATAAAAAAATAGGTTGAAAAAAGAAGAACATCTTGGTTGTGGGATTCGCTCTGGACCTTTTGGAGGGAAAAGTGTCGTTTTTATGTTGACTTTCAATTATTTTGTGAAATCTAGTTTAAAGTGGAATAGGATAGTGCTATTGTGCCTTAATCGAAGATTAAAAGGCGAAATTATACGAATCTCGAACTAAAATACCCGTAT